ATAGGACGTAGAGGAACTATTGAGTGGCCTGCTAGGTCCCCAGACCTAACTCCGTGCGATTTCAGTATGTGGGGTTTGTTAAAAGAACATGTGTTTTCGGAGAAACCTCAATGTTTAGAAAATTAAAAGAATTAATAACAAAACATTTTGATGTTTTATCCACACCACAACTATGCAACAAAATCTGTAAGTCAGTGTTGAAAAGGTGCTACAAGTGTATAGACAATGATGGTGGTCACTTTGAGCAGCTTCTCTAACAGGTATATTAAAATTATACTTTTATAGTTATGTTTAATGCTAGCTACAGTTTAACTGCTTTTTCGGTATACTGACTTTTGCCGCACCCTGTATACCATATAGATGAGTTTGACCGGATGGTGTTTTTGGCCTCTAGGGACCTCAAAACAAAAAAGTAAATCGGTCCCGGGTCCAGGTCTTACCATGAGTACTACAGTAATAGCTTATTCCCTATAAGCTATAGCTGGAAGATGGGCGAGTAATTAGAAGACATGTTGATCAACTGATTCTTCGTAAAGTGCCGCAGCACAGTAGATAGAGGAGGAGGTGATAACATATGTTTTATTTAAATTTTATTTCTAACATGTGCTCAAATTTTATTCTTTTGTTTACTTGTTGAATTGTTTATTTTTACTTAGGCCTACAGATTGTGATTTAATAAAAGCCTACTTTCTATTTTCTTATACAAAATGTGAACTTTTATCATAGTAAAATTAGTGGAATCAAATCAGTACTCACCATTAACATAAAAAGAACTATCAACACACAAACTACTTTAACTTAAGCTTAATATACAGTAGTATACAGATAGTTTGCTGAAATAGTAGTTTGTGCAACGATCGTGTAAAGATAGTGTTAGCGACACGAGTAGAAATTTAACAAGTTTTGTTAAGACTATTTACGAGAGTTGTACACTACTTTAACTATGACAGTTTTTTTAACTACTAACAATCCCTCCCTAATCTTAACTTATAAGACAGGTTATGTTTTCGTTTATAACCTCTCATTGCCACTGACAGTGATGCAACGCATCATTGTACCAAAAACTAATGGCACCACTCAATAATTAAATTGGCCTGACCAGATGATTAGTTGAAGTTTGAAGCATTACACTTTTACTTCTTTTCTCTCAATCCTTGAACCTCATTGGTCCGTTACCCGTGTTGTCAAGTAAAAAAACAATGCCGATAAGTAAGTAAACAATGCTGTTAAGTGAATCTTTTCAATGCTAAGAACTGAACTAAAACAGCTAGTTTAAAAAACGGCCGTAGGTAAAAATACTTCCCGAACATGAGTTCAAATTTACCCAGCATAAACTAATATTAACAAAGATTATACTTATAACGAAAACTTCACAATTATTACAAATTGTATAAATAAATACAATTACCATAATAATTGTTACAATTATAATTGTTATAATTATTTAGGATATATATCTAGTTCAATTACACATTTCCTGAAAACGCAAATCTTTTTTGGTAAAAAAAAAACTACATTTAGTAAAATTGTAAAAATGTAATACCAATCAATATTTTTGTAAACATCTTGTAGTAACGTAAACATTTTAGTGACAGTTTGAAACCAGCTGTTAATAAAACTAAATTACATTAAAACAAACTTAAAACGGTAGTGTCAGCTGCTAAACCTTTTTAATAAGTTAAAACTAAATTTCTAAAAAAAATCAAACACAAACTAAAGTTATGGCTTTGACATTCCCTCTTTTAAAATCATCTTTCTTTCAACACAAAAATCATGAAAATCTGTCAAGTGGATGAGTCAGAATCTTGAAATAAGAAAAACCCTCTCATGTTTTAATATATACGATTTGTTGGCCCGTTCTAGGTACGGAAATAAAGTAGTCAATTAAAACTGAATATGATTCATAACAGCTAGTTTACAGGCATAAAAACAAATACTGGCAGTTTTAATGGGGAAAATCATCTTGTAAACAAATATCACGTAACCACCAATTTCTTTCGTTCTATTATAGGCCTATACGATATGCATTTTTAAATGCTACAATCAAACACCAATTGTGTCGATTTGAAAAGCCTTGAAGTGAGATTGGCGGCCGATTCACACTCATAGTTATTGAGTACTGTAGCTACATACCACATTCCATTGAATATTTTACTTACCGAACCTTATCTTACCTCTGTGGCCACTGAAACCTTAAGAGGATTCTGGCGTCCCATTCTCTTCAATCCCCTGCCTCTTCTTATGTTCTTTTGAAAGTTAAATGTATCTTTTCTCCACCATGCATAGCCTGCCCATCTAAACCGTTTACTTTCGTAAAGCACCCATTTACCTGGTGTTTATACATTTCTCTTAGCTCTCTGTTCTTTCGTATCTCAACCTCCGTTATCTTGAACTGGTCCGTATATTTTCTTCGCACTCTATTTTCGAACCCAGAAATTATGTTTTTTTCGTTCTTTGGTCTGTGCCCAAGTTTCTAAACCATACAGTACTGCTGGGATAGTTTTGGCGTGAATCCATTTTGGTTCCTACTGACACCCTGCAGCTTATTGGACAATGTTATAGAGACTGTCTACACGGGTTGACATTTTCATTTCTAACCATAGCAAAACTTTGGTCTGCCGACATACACACATTTGAACATCAAGTAAAAGTATTAACTCGTAACGATGGTGAACGATAGTTTGCTGAACAAATATTTCCCAAGGATCAATTAACATTTTCATGGCATATACTTATACAGACTGCATTTATGACAAAACTTAACTAGCGTATACACAAGTGTTTGAGATGCAAAGTTAAAAATTAGCATATTCTGATAACGCAAATCCTTAACAGTAAGAAAAAAAAAACTAAATTTCAAAGTGAAATAATATGTAGGCGCAAACACCGACGATTGATATTTTTGTAAACAAATTAGTTGTAACATAAACATTTCAGTGACAGTTTGCAACCAGCTGTTAGTTAACCCTAGACTGGTGTCTTGATTTTTATCACACATTAAGTGTCTTCGGTCTGTGAGACCGTTTTAGATTTTATTTTTTATTTTTGTATAGCTATAATCATTAAGAGATAAAACTTTGTAAATTATTATTAGCCTACTATAGTAAAAATTTTATTTAATAACGTTATTGTAATTGTTGTAATAATGTTTATATTTTTATGGGGTTTATCGTATAATTTATCGTGAAATTAAACCCCTCTGAGTGTTGGTAAACTATTTTTGAATAAATTAATACATTTATCAAAAGTTGATCAAGTAAAACATTTTTAAATACTGTTTTTAAATTACTAAAGCCTTTACTGACATATTATGAAATCTTATAGACTGTATAAAATATAATATATTTATAGACTGTAATTTTATATAATGTAAAAAAACATAACCATCATAATCCGTCTATTTTTAATGTTTGACCGAGACTTCAAATAATGCCTTTTTACCCATAGAGTAATGGCGACTTTGATTAGTCTACACCTTTGGTGTCTTCGGACTGTGAGACTGTCTTTGTATTTATGAATATTCTATGTATATAACTATGGAAATACAATTAATAAACCATGTTAAATTATTAGTATTATATAATTTTACATTAAAAGTATAACATTATAGTATTATACATAGTATTATTATTATAGTAGCCTACTATTATTCATTTTAGATGTCTTCGGTCTGTTGGACCAATCACACCTTAGGTGTCTTCGGTGTAGGGGACCAAAGTACACAATTGCAGACGAATCTGTAACCTCAAAATTACGCCCTTGCATCTTGTGGTAGACTGGGTCGAGGTAGGAAGGTAGCAGGAGACACAAGTCCTGCACCCTAGCGAGGGGAGCAGGAACTTGGAAATATTACGTCATCGGACTCACAGACCAAAGACACCGCTCCAGGGTTAAACTGGGACCGTGTCTCGTTGTACCGCTGTCTAGTTGAACCTACGTCTAGTTGTACCTCATAGACCTAGGGATAACTAGTCGTAGGTACAACTAGACGTAGGTACAAGTAGACGGTGGCACACCCGACAAGTTGTACCTGCAGATTTTTAAGAGGTACAACTAGACATAGGTACAACTAGACGTAGGTCAACCATTGACTGTACAACTAGACGTGTATGCCACTGACAAGTAGTATCACCTAGCTTGTACGGATGCGACCAGTTGAACCTACGTCTAGTTGTACCTATTTACATGATTTGCATTATACGTTTTTATTTCCTAATTTTATTTGATCAACTAAAATTAAATTTACAAAATCTAAAAATTCCTATGCTATTTAAAGGAAAAATACCAAATCAACTCTTATGTGTGGCATGTAGCTAAATAATTTATTCATTTAAAAAAATACCCGGGTTATAAATACCCGAGTATTCTACATCTCTAATTGTATTTACCTTATTGTTTATGGGTTTATAAATGTAATTTGAAGAGTATTATTAGATTAAATCAATGAATACCTTTGTCAATCAGCCCCTGCAGTGTAACAAATGTTACGGACATTTCAGCATGACTATGCCATCTTAAGACGTTAAGACATAAGGCTTTAACACACAAAAATATAAAAATGTCACTCAGAACACATGCATGGTAAAAATGGGTTTTAAAAACACAGGCCTTTTGAGTAACGTAAACATTCTCGCACTCAAGCAAGTAGCTGACTGGAGTCAGCCTTGCTTTGACGTGTTGGCGGCGGCGATATCAACTGTACTTTGCTCTCTTGGTCTTGGTTCCTTAATCTGATTTACAATACTATTGCAAATTCTGAGTTATTTTGATGATGGCACAGTGATGCTGAAACTGTTGTAACATTTGTTACTCTGCAGGGGCTAGTTGTTGAAGGTAATTCATTGATTTAGTCATGGATCAGCTCAGGGACTAGAAACTATGGATTATTATTAGATATTCCTTAATACAATGAATGAATTGCTGAAAAGTTATGTGAATTTATTAAATATTTATCAAAGAGTATATCTTTTAACTCATATGCCCTTTTATCGTGTCTGCAGAGCTCTTCATATGATTCTGAGGTTTTTTGAGTTAGTTCTTGAAGATGGATCCAGTGAAGAGCTCGTAGGTTTGCTTAAGACAGCTTATAGAGAAACACTCATTACGTATCACAAGTGGCCTCTTCAGCTTCTTTTTTCTGTGAGTCATATCTGAATTTGAATTATTTTATAGTTACGGTACATTTGTAACTTTTCCTTTTTAATATGTCAATACAGTGAATAATTTACAGTACACCATTAGACAACGATCTTATCTTATATTATACTAGCTGAATACCCGTCCTTCGTACGGGGTTGGCTTAAAAGTATAAAATGCTTATTGCAGTTAAAATGCTTTGTGTTTGCAATGGAAGAGGACACGGTTTGAGAAAATTTTGTTCTTTTAATTTACGGAAGCTATAGTATAGCACATTTACGATAGCCATAATGTTCTACCACTACACCTAAACAATGAAAAAGTAAATCATCGAATATTTGCACAATATCAAAACATCATTTATAAATTAAAAACATAAGCTTAACTGTAATCCAACTTTAACACCAACTTAAATAGTTCCAACTTTAATAGTCCAACTTTAATAGTTCTCATTGAGCATCACAGTTTCAAATTAGCTATGTTGTCATAAATGAAAAAATGTATAAGTGCTACACCCTGTTGGTGAACCTTATAACTTTTAATAACATTGAATATCATAAAACAACTTGAGTAATTTAAACAGCTGACAAAAATCCCTTTTAAATATGAATACTCATAAGGTTAACATGGAAAACTCCAGAGCCACTGGGGCGGAGCCCGAAAGGATTTTTGAGATACGGATACGCCTATATGTTAATCGGGAATGTGAGCTATCATCATACAAAATTTCAGCCCAATCCGACCAGTAGTTAAAGCGTGATTGAACTTCAAACAAACAAACAAACATTCACATTTATAATATTACAGTAGTAAGATTACTTATATTTTAAATCTGAAAGTTTGTGAGTTTGTGTGTTTATGTGTTGCTCAATCACGCAATAACTACAGGACAGATTGGGCTAAAATTTGGCATGATGATAGCTAACATAACCGATTAACATAAAGTCCTATTTTTATCTCAAAATTCCTTCCGGACTCCACCCCAGTGGCTCTGCAGTTCTCCATGTTAACGATATGAGTATTCATATTTCAAAAGAATTAAAGAATTTAGTCAGCTGTTTCAACTTTATATGCAATAGCATTAAAAAGTTATAAGGTTTCCTGACAGGTTGAAGCACTATTATTATTCTGTTTTTGCATATATGACAACAGCTAATTTGAAATAAGCAGCAACAAAAAGCTGTGATACACAATGAGAACTGTCAAAGTAGGATTGTTTACAGTTATGCTTATGTTTTTAAATTAATGAATAATTTGTGATATTGTGTAACTGTTTGATAATTATTTTTTTCTATTGTTTAGGTGCAGTGGTAGAACATTATGGCTATGGTAGATGTTTTATACTATATCATACCGTAAATTTATAGAAACAAATTTTATCCAACTGTGTCCTCCCCAACTGCAAATGCAAAACTTGAGTATAACTGCAATAAGCATTATATACTTATATGCCAACCCCGTACGAAGGACAGGTGCTCTGCTAGTTTAATATAAAAATAAGCCAGGCCTCTTAGTTCACATGTCAGTAGTGTAGCCAGGATAAGATAGGGGTGGGAGATTCCGGGGGTCTGGTGGGTGTTCCTGAAAAGAGGGGTATCCGAGGCCCTTCTCCAGGAGATTTTTAAATGTTAACAGTGTAAATAGCTATTTTAGAAAGCTCCTTTTTCTTATGCTCCAAAGTTTAAAGAAGCTAAACTAAATATCACATCAACCCAATTGCTTATTTTGACTGTAAGTAACAACTGGTAAGTCTTTTGACTGTAATTTGCCAGAAAATCTTACCTACTTATATAATTCTTTTACTATACAGGGTGGCTGAAAAGTAACTTGTACCCCCTTAGCCTTTGAACCTTTTAAAATATTTGAAATCGGTTTGCGGCAACATTCTTAGAAATGAGGGGCTACAAAAATTATGGGTAATTTTGAAGATTTTGCCCTTAGGGGTAGTGGCGGTTGGGGGTTTCTTAAAGTTTTAAAACAGGAAGTATGTAGTAGAAGTAGTAGACGAGGGTAATTTTACAGCCTGAGGCTTGGCGGAGCGAGTGCCGGCCAGGTATCAGTGACCGGTTCCACGGTGCGGCGGGTATTGCGGTGGAAAGATCGATCAGGGGAGAAGAGCAAAATTTATTTTAGGGATGAAATGAAACTGTTCTAACATAACCTAACCAAACTTGATCACTCTTACGCTCTGGGGAGTCAAATGGCACTCAGGCCTTTCTGACAGTTTTGACAGTTTATAACCCCCATGGCAAAGAATAGAACGGCACTCGCTCCGTTTCCTGGTCAAGCTGTGGTGTGGTCACAGGTAAAACTCCTTAGTGTCCTTTATCTGAAATGCAAGGTAATTACTATATCCACAGATACTTTTTGTTAACATTCTACACTCTTCAGCCCGCCCCCCCCTGTACCCCACTGTCTGTGTAGAAGTTTTTGGAAGAGGACCTTCTGAAATAAACAGTAGGCTACATGATAAACAATGCTTGTGTACTGTAAATCTTGATAGTGATGTATATGAAACAGATTATATTAATGTATTCATTTCATATGCGACTCTGTCATATTTCACAGTTCTAGATACCAAAGCATTTTAAATCACTACTGCTACATAGTACAGTCTTCTGTCCAATGAGTTCCTTGGGGTTAAAAGCTAGTAAATAACAAAACAATCAATGAATTAACATATTTTCCTTGTAGCGGCGGCACTTTTCGTGTTGTCTAAATAAATACCTACTTGCAGCTAAAAAGTGTTTTGAACGTTTATTTGGCTTCGGATATCTTGGAATTACAATCGGTATGGATAAGCAAATTAAAACATAAAAAAAAACAATAATAATGAACTTTAATCTGGAAATGCAGTGCTACAAATTACAGAACTAAAAACAATGCAGTGCTTCAAATTACAGAACTAAAAACACAATAAAACAAGATTGATGTGTACGTGCCAACAAATAGTGAATGTAATATCCCAGAAAATATAGGAGTGTATCATATTTAACAAGGAAAAATATTTAATACATCTTTTGACAATTACATACAACAAAACATACAAATTAATCAGGCGATGATATAAAGTCCAGTTGAGAAGTGTTACTTCTCTTAAACCACCACTTAATATTTATCAACTTTATCCAGTCCGATCAACTGCATCAACTCTTGATGTTGTGGGTCAGGAATACCTTTTGTCAAAGTATCCGCTGGCATTTCTGCTGTTAGTTTATACTTCAGAACAACTAGTGTACCTGTTGCTCGAATTCTCGAATTTTGTTCTGCAATTCAACATACCACCTGGTTTACTGATTTTTAGGCGGATTGGTTGTAATTAATTGTAAATTACACTTGCAACCATCTTCCCTAAGAGTTCTCTCAACACACTTTGCAGAAATTTAGCTTCTTTTGCTCTATCACTAAAGCTGTGTTCATACAAGGCCAGTAGACCAGGCAAGTTACCTGCCTCTAGTGTACAAGTTACCTTGGAGGCAGGTCAACTAGCTTCGTGTAAACATAGCTTACATGCCGTATTATCTGCTTTTATATTCGACAATATCACCGTGCGTTGTTGCCTGCTTACCCAGGATAAAGGTCCATTTTGCTAATTTAAAAATATACCTCGTATAAGAATCTTCTTTGTCGTTAGCCCAGTTCTCATCAAAGAATGCTTACATCTCAAGAGTCCCTGATTTATGGTAGACATACCTATCTCAATAGTTTCTTTTAGGTATCTCAAGAATTGTTTTGCTTCCTTCTTATTAAACATGGCTAAGGTCCGAAGTTTTCTATTTTTCACATCTATAAACCTTTATAAATGGGTTTGAATTTTCCTAGAACTTTTTGTTACCACGCGATGAAACTTGAAGCAACAACTTAATATATTTCAGTAAAAAAACTAGTTAAAAAAACCTAACCACAAGCTTAAAGTTGTGTGTTGGGATAGGTGAATCTTCTTTTAGTTGTACCTCAAACCAAGCTTTTTGCTTCTCTGAACTTATTCCCAGTGTGTGTGTTCACAGAAAAATCTCTTTAAATTCATTTTCACAAGATAAAGGAAGCATGATAAATTTAGTTACAATTAAATTAATGAATAATTCATGGACTCAGTGGGTTTAAAAATTATAGTTTTAATTTGGGGTAAAAAGTTAATGTTTTAATTTTTACTGTTGGCGCTCAGATGCTTTGTCGAATGTGCCCTAACCGATCTCGCCTGATCCAAGTGATGTCATTGAACCGCAGCCACACAGAAGCATCAGTGTACAGAGATTTGGCAGTATTCACCGCGGCTCTACGTCTCAACGTTGACTCATTGGCTGCGTTCTACAGTGAACATCAGCTAGAGTGTGAAAACAAAGTGTAAGTCAATCAATGTTGGCTCACATAAAATAACTGAAATATGTATCCTGATAACATATAAATTTAGATTATATATTTTTATATAGTGGGTAGTAAAAAACCAATGCCAATCATATAGCTTAACATTTAAATTGTGAAAGCAAATCACAAAATTGTAGGATTTCAATTATGTAATGTAACCTACCAAAAGCCCCTGTCACACGGAGCTGGTTTTGGTTTTTCACCGCTAGTAACTAGTAGCTAGAACCAGCAGCTTGATTTTTGGTCCAGCATATTGTGACTGATTTTCCAGTGAGTAGAAACACTCCCATGAGCCTCTAGCTGCTGAAGCGTTTAAACACTTTAACATTGCAAGCCCTTGAAGAGTCATTAGCAGGTCACGTGATGACCCAGCTGTGGTCCCTTGCGCCTTTCCAGCTCCGTCTGGCTGGAGCCAACAGTATCGTGCTAGTTCTCGCATAAAAAAAAGAATAGTTTGTGCATTAATAAAAAAAAACAAATTAATATAAAACTTCATATTTAAAATTTACAGAAGAAAATTGATTTTTATGTATTTTCATAATTTTATCCTTTTAATTATTTCCTACAACTCACCTATATTAAACTAAATGAATGTACTTGTAAAGGACAAAGAACTTTTGTAGTAGGTCTACCACAAACTTTTTAAGGCCTACCACACTCGAGAGACTTTTTGTCAGCCGACTGTCTGGCTGGAGTCGGGTGGACAATCGAAATGTCGTCTAGACTGTTTTGTCGTTGACTGTGGGTGAGCACACGCCTCGTCTGTTTAGTCGTCTTTCGAGTGTCAAAGGATGGATATGACAGAAACCTTTGTGTGTTACTGATAAGATTTTGTGCAAGAAAACGTACAAGAAAATACTGGGTGAATCCAATTTATTGTCCAAGAACATTGAAAGGCCAGTTTTACCTCTTCGGATTTGAGGAAATATCTGGACAAATTTGTCATGTACTCAAGAATGAATTATTATTGTAATGAGTATTATGTCTGAATACTCCTTCAAAAACTTTTTAGAAAGAGGGGGCCGTGCCTCCACTTCATCAACAAGTTTATCAACTTTTTCGTCTTGCAAAACACTTGCACTTGTCGCAGCTATAACAAACTTGCCTGTCTGCGTAGGCACACAACAAAACTCTACTTTTTAGTCGTCAGTGTGCGCGTAAAAACTTGTCTCTATGCCTTTATCAATACGACACGACAGTTGAGTCGGGGAGCAGTCGGTGGGAAAATTGGTCAGCCCCAAAATGCCCCGACTGTCTGGCTGCGGTCATCCTGTGTGCACGCTCAGATTTACCACTATGGAGCAGACTTTGATTCCTGAGTATGACGAAATAGTCGGCCGACTAATAGTCTCTCGTGTGCGATAGGCCTAACTTGTTAATTTTTACTCATAGTAGATACAAAATAATATTGTATAGTGTGTCTATTTTTACATTCCATTTTTTACCTTGCACTATTTTAACCACTATAATGACTGATCATAGACAAAACATCACGTTTAATGCCAACAGACAACATTATTTTTGTTTTAACTACACAAACAGTGCCAATCACAACACCAGACTTAAAATTTACGTATAAATTTTTGTTCATTCACATAAAAAAGCAATATTTCACATAGCGCGGGTAAATGGCGGGAGTAACTATGAGTCTCTTATGGTTCACAAATGCATATTCTTTAAGTTAGTGAACCGCGTTAATGGTTTAACGAGATTCTCTCTGTCCCTATTTAATTTTTTAAGTACGACTTTTCGCTAACCGACTTCAGTATCAGTGAATTTTCTAAGTCCAGACCCAGTAAAAAGGAATTAAATTGTTATAATACATTACAAAACGTTTTGAAGTGCTAGTTCCCCAGCTCCATCTGACAGGAGTTCTAGCACGCTGGAGAACCAGCTACTAAAGCTGCTGGATCTACTGCCAGAACTAGCTGATGAAACAAGCCCCGTGTGACGGGCCTGTGAAGACATTCCTGTGAATTTTAACTTTTTACCTTTCAAATGTCAGCTGTTATCATACTATTAAAATCCATAAAAAGAAACTAGCTATTCAAACTTTAAGGTACATTTTGGGCATTGTTTACATGAAAACACACCCTTAAAACTGCAAATTCGTTGCACTAAAAACTTTAACATATATCATCATCAAATATTATAACACCGTAGTTTGTTATTTATCTATATGAAGTTTTCATTGATATAATTTATATGTATTTTAACAAACTAGATAACCCGTTGCTCGAAATCGAGCAAAACTGCAACTTGTAATAAAAGAATAAAGAACAAAAACATAAACAGCAAGACCTCAATCCAAGAGTCACTACAAAGTGATTTCTATGACTGATTTAGTAATATGAAAAATATGATGTTGTAAAAAATTTTAAAAGTAATCTACAATATTAAAATGAAGATCCGCTCTCATACTGCTTTGGTTATCTCTTACGTACTGTAGGCGAGTACCCTCTATGAGCACGTAGATGTCAACCATACACAGTAAAGTGAGCTTTTCAGACCTAATGTAGCAAGCTAAATTCCTCTCTTGGCGCCAACCAGTACGACACGTACTATAGCATTAGCATTGTTATATTATTTCTACGATATGTTCTGTTTTAGGCCCCAATTAGTGGCCCCAAACAAAGTCTCCGGTTGGTAACATAAGAGGGTAAGCAAGTGGATCTAACGAACGAGGGATCTAGAACGGATAAGCTTGTTTAACATTATTAGTAAAAAAAAAACTATAATATTTTTTGGCCAGGTGGTGCTCTGTTTTCAGCTTTAAAAATATCTGCGACATCTATACAGGTATCATCATTGCAGCGAATGGAATTTTTGTCTCTTTATTATGTACACAAGTCACTTGACTCTTAGGAGCTCTCGTCCCTACAAATTTCTGACACAGTCTTAAAGATTGGGCAAATGGGTTGGCATTGTGACCCTATTTCCCACTTATTTTTTCAATGCATGTCTTGTTTGAATTGTGTTTCATGCACTGTTCGGTTCCAGTGCCAACGTCGTACTTATACAATACATCTGTGCGTATTCAGTTGATCATCATGACTTAGAGGAATTAGATGACCTACTGGGTGATAAAACTTGTCTTGGATTTTGAAATTGTAGATCCCCTGTGTGATCCTCTCATCTAAATAAGCTTTAGAGCTGAACATGGCAAAGGCGGAATTAAATTGACAAATTTTATCCAAATAATTTCCTGAAAGTATGGTGAATTCCGCAAATGAGGTAAACGATCCTTTCATTTACAGCAACAAAGAGTAAAATTGAACTGTTTCGGCCAGTCTTAGGAAACTCTTTATTTATGAGCCAGACTTGGTTAACAAATGTTAAAATAAAAAAATAAATTCCCGACTTTGCTATGGAAGTAATAAGTCCTGCTGTCTGTGGTTAACCTTAAAAACTATTTCAAACTACGTTTATATGTTTAGTTGGAAACAAAGGGAATTGAGTTTGATCTAATGTCAACAGATAGCGCCGCTGTTCCCAAACTTTAACCCTTAACTGTACTTAAGTGATGCCCATTCTCAATATTCTGAGACGTTTGCACATCTATGTAAAAATACCTTTAATTTGACACCACAAGCGTTAATCCGTCTAGCCGTTATCGACTTATGACTGTGGAAAGAAAACTGCTTGAGTATTAATATATAGATTAAATCTTAACATGGAAGTGGTACTTGTTTCCATTACAATCTATATATGAATTCATATAATTTAATGTACATTTAGCAGTGATGGGGTTAAGATTGAGTTGATATTTATGAGATATATGGACCTGTTATTATCATATGATTATGAGTAGTATAGTTTTTACTTTTTTTATTGAAATACTAGCTGACCCGGCGAACTTCGTATCGCCTAAGTTATAGGTTTCCCCTAAGACAGACCGATGGAAAGAAAGTACCGTTACGTTTAATTTTCAAGATGATCTCGTTCGCATCGCTCAATCACGTCCTGGTTGAAGTTCGTTCGCTACGCTCACTCACCTTTGGGTTGGAGCTCGTTCGCTACGCTCACTCACCTTTGGGTTGGAGCTCGTTCGCTGCGCTCACTTGCCTTCAGGTTAGCTCGTTCGCTACGCTCACTCGCCTCCAGGTTGAAGTTCGTTTGCTATGCTCACTCACCTTTTGGTTGCAAATTAGCTGTTGTCATAAATGTAAAAGAAATAATAGTGCTGCACCCTGTTGGTAATCCTTGTAACTTTAATGCTATTGAACATCATAGAACAGAACCAACTTGTTTAATTGAAACAGCTGTTAAGATTCATTAATTCCATTTCTCATAAGGTTAACATGGGAAACTCCAGAGCCACTGGGGCGGAGCCCTTTTAAGAATTTCGAAACGGGAAATAGTTTACGTCCGATTCGCATACCTACAGAATTTACACACTAAATTTCATAACGATCGGTGAAGTCGTTCCGGAGGAGTTTGCAGACAAACACTGTGACATGAGAATTTTATATATTAGACTAGTTGGTGGTATATATAAAAGAAGTTTTACAATCTAGTCATATTTTATAATATATATATTTAAACCGCTTTTTATAGTTTTTGCTAAGTGATTGACTTTTTTTGTAATATCAAACAAAATTGTTTGGGAAAATGTGTATAATGTTTTTATAGATCAAATTTAGGCTTAGTGTAATATTGCATATTTTATTCAATTTCCCTAAGTTAACAAGCTTTTGTAGTAGATCATCCATCTTCACTGATTACATAGTAAAATACCTTGGACATACCAGAGTTTTACCAGAAGTTTATTACATTGAGCCTCCACTGTATCAACAAGAAAAAAACATTTAATCATTTTTAGACTAGTTTTATTGTGCCTCTAAATACAATTAATTGTGAATGTAACATGTAATTACTGTAATGTGATACTGTTTGATATTGTACGAGAAATTATTATTTTTACCATTGATTTTTTGCACTTATTAATAAGGCATTTTTGTGTATAACCATGCAAGAATCCAAAAGCTATATGATTTATAAGGGCAGTATTTTATTAATAGTGATTTATCCATCTTCACTGATACATCTGTCAGTCTGTTTCTTATTTCATATAATTTATTTTATCAAATTTTCCATATAGGGAATAAGCTATTAAACCGTAGTACTCATGGTAAGACCTGGACCTTGGATCGAATTAACTTTTTCGTTTTGAGGTCCCTAGAGGCAAAAAAAAATCCGTTCCAATTCGTATACATATGTGTCCGTTAGCACTATAACTCGAGAAAAAATGATCAGATTTGATTTTGATGAAATTTGGTGTTTAAAAATAAGAGGGTTATAGCAAACCTACTTAACAATTTAAACTATAAGTTCAATGTTATGCTTATTAAGCTGGGTTTTCCTAGAAGCGGAAGCGGAGCGTGGAGAGGGGAACGCGGAGAGGGGAAAGCGGAGAGCAGACTCCTCTTGTGTTAGGCAATTTAATGTTACTGTTTTCCTAGAAGCGGAGCGGAACGCTATGTTAATCACTTTTCTGCTCTCCGCGCTTCGCTTTCGCGCCTAGGAAAACCCAGCTTTAGACTAGGTACATCTCTTCATGTCAACAGTTTAGCAATGTAGTTGTCAAATGATTATACAGTAGACTCCCTCTTATCCATACACCTTTTAACCGGACTGCACTCGGCGGAAATTAGATCTCATTAACCAGACACTTTTATCAGCACATCGGTTTACCTGGACTAGATCAGCAGAAAGGGGGCGGTACTGAAACGACTGTTCTCGTGGGAAAGATTTGAGACCAGTGATCACGTGTCTAAATACAATGCTCTCCTAAATTTTAGTCAAATACTGTATACAGTATGCATTTACCCAGTCCGTTTTAACCAATTTGGAAAAAAACCTCGGTTCCGAGGAGTCCGGATAAGAGGGAGTCTACTGTACCTATGTTTATTGTGCAGTTAACACACACTACAAGCCAAAACATAGAAAAAACTATCTTATGCATATTTCTGTTTACATATTTTGTATTGGTTGAACAATAAAACAGCTGATTTCAATAATATAAATAAATTGTAAATAAACACTAGTCCGGGCGTGGAGACAGGGACAGGACATTATGAAAAACTGATTGGGAACAAAGGAAAGTAAATTTAGAGCAAGGGAAAATCAGCTGATCGTCTTCCCTTGCTCTATAGAGCTAAATGACTTTCATTTATATCAGCTGTTATCGAAAGTAGCTTCTCTCTGTAAGTTATGAAAAATAATTATAACTAAGCACATAACACTTGCTTTTCAAATAACATGTTTGTGTTTGTGGTTTTTTTAATCTCTTAGAATAACGTTTGAATTGTGATAAAAAAGAGTGGTATATGATAAGGTCTTACCAAGATTATTTTTTAGTTTGGATTATGGAAAAATCAAGTGTGCAAAGAATTGTTTATCACTGATTAAGTTTAAAAGGAGATAGGTGTTCTATGTTAAATTAGTAAGTTTGTTCCTTAATATTCCAAGTAAGGGATCAAGTATTTGATGTTTTAGCAATCATTCCCGCACCTGTGACTACAATAGTATTATTAAGCTAGGCCAAAGGCCCTAAGTGTTTTGTTTTGCTTTTCTTACTATTAAATCATGCAAACATTTCACCTAGTTTGGCCTTATTTAGGTATCAAGTGTGATTCATTTCATCCTATCTTACCTAACTATTTGTAAAATGTATTTAACAACGAGGTGGGTGTTTATATTGAGTGGCAGTTTTCAATCTTTACACCTGTTTGCATCAAAATTAAAAAAGAAGATGAAAATTTTCTCATTATTCATATTTACTGCAACAGGGGTGTTCGTTCACTTAAGATCCCAGTCACTTAAGATGTTTTCTGTGGTATTTAATTTAAAGATCAAATCATCTGACACAATTTGCTTGGTTATACAATACTTAAAAATCAATTGGCACAACTTGCCTGGTTATACATTATAAACATTTTACCATCAAAAGTTTCTCTACGTTATAAAAGGCATTAGGCATTAATAACCATTTTACAACAAAAATGTTGTGTCTTCCTTGGTGCAAACTAACAGACCAGACAATTATGAAATAAAGTAAAAATTGTGAACCCTTTATAAGTATTTGTTAGTACTAGTGACACGTTTGTACCTCTTTTCAAAGTCAGTACTGGTAACGGTTCCTGACAAAAATCAGTGCTCGGTACCAGGACCATAGTACCAAAAATTGGGGGCAGCCAAAATAAAAATTAAACAGTTTGTACAAAGTTTTCAGCGGAAACTAGTTTAACTCTCAGGAAATTAGAATTGTTCCTGTTTTATAAGCAAATCCATAAGCAATTTAAATTGAGAACTTTATGGATAAAATAGTAAATTAATAAAATTGTTTACACGTAGTACAGTTTTAATACTAAAGAAAGAAAAATGTATAAGAATTTTGATAACTGGGGAAAATCTGTGAATCCTAAATAATTTTTTAAATAAAACTGGTAAATTTTAATATTTTTGAATAAACAATACCAACATCATATGGCATTCAATACCAAGGTTCCCTTGTTTTTTTATATAAAAAATTAGTAGTAAATAATGACGTTGTTTGTTGCCGTGTTTGTGGGGATGATCATTGATGTTGCCCCAATCACGGGATATAATTATTATGTTGCCGCGATCACTTTTTCAATTTTTGGCGATTTTGAGTTTTGGCTTAAGGACATCACAAGTAGTTTGGCACCCATAGAAGGAATTAATTATTGTTGCTGTGTCTGCAATTATTCTTGATATTGCGGCTTGTAGTCGTGGGTATCGCCAGACCGCCAAAAGACCCATGCTTTCTTGGTATGAAAGTAACGGTACTGATATTTTAACAACGGTTCTCTGCACCGAACCTTTACATCAAAATGCAATTCTTGCAGTGGCGGACCGGTGCACCTGGCCCAGAACTGAGATATATGCCCCCCAAGTTAGCGTTTTTACTTTTTGACAAGCTTTTTGAGGTAATTTTGTATGCTAAATGTTAACTTGTGTCAAAATTTACATATTTAGCAAATTGAAATAATACAGACATAATCACCAGAATATTATTCTCTACCAACAAAAATATTGTTTGCTTTATAGTGCATTTTAGGTTAGGATAAAAATTAACCAAAGATAAATATGATAAGCACTTTATAATGCTGTTAAACAATAAACCATCGCTTTTCAAATACTTTTTGTATATAAAACAGCGTTCTACATAAAATCATTGATGATTCTTAAACCATACTTGTCTTTAAACCTTTCCTAAATAAATGAACTAATGGATTTTTTCTTCTTCAGTCAGATTGTTTGGGATTTGCCTGATGTGTTCTTGTGTCATCAGCTGTCCTGTGTTTTCTTAAATGTGTTTTTAATGGGGACAATGTGGAATTGGTAGTTTGCCAGACTATTTTGGCAACATTTATGCTATATTCATTCTTAGGCCTACAGTAACAACATTTTATTAGATAGGTCTAAATAAAATTATTTTTAGTTATTTTTTCAAACATTGTTTTTTCTGCTTGGAAAATTATTTCTGTATTTACAATTTATCATACAACAGTTTTGATTAAATATCCACTTCTGCCCAAAACCAGTGCCGGAACGCACATCACTTATTTAATTTATCCAGATAACTAGAGGTGCTTGTACTTCTGAAATTGTAGTTTGATGTAGGAATTTAAAGGTGTTTTGTATGGTTGGGCAAAATATACTCCATGCAGTAAAGTGGAATGCTGCTGTTGGGTTGTTTAGAGTGTGGCTCGTAGCTTCCGAACTGTATCAGGACCACCTCGTAGGTAACTATGGTACTCACCATCTGCAGGAAAATATCAGTAGCCTACAAAAACTGTTAAACACATGAGTAAAATAATTAGCTAAGGCTTAACTAACATTATGATACTTAATACTACCCTATTTTGTTGCATTTTTAAGCTCTGCCACTGTGTTGAAAACAAAAAAGTACAAGATGATGGACCTGTGTTGTGTGGTAACAATTTACAATCAGGCAAGCAATAATTATTGTTTGATTGTTGCTCTAAATCATCAGCTAAAACATAGTTTCTATAAAAATAATGTGACCAGTGATTTATTTGTGGTTTTAAATTATTGTTGTTAATTAATTAAAGAGAGCTTGTGTAGCCCTTTCCCAGAGAGAGGGCCATTCCGCTTATGGTTTAAACGTGTCTGGTAGATTCCTGTCCATTTTGTTGATTGGCAAGCCAATTTGGTTCAGGATGAGCCGCTGGTGTGAAACAAACCTCATTCTATTCTTTATGCTGGTACACACGTTTTCTGGTAGGGCCTACTGTAAAACAGGCTCCTCTAAATATTAAACTTTATCAAACAAAGAATTAAATCACACCTAAATACTTACTGTTAAAATAACAGAACGAGTAACAAAAAAGAACTGGCAACCAGAAAGAGCTAAAGTGTCAGTGGAAACTTGCTCGTACAATCGCTTAACCTGAAAATACACAGACTAATTTAAAAAGAGAAATGTTTAACCATTAATTGTAAATAAAATATCACTACCTACCAATATTAATGGTTTTTTGTTTGTACTCTCATAAATCAACTATCCGACAGTTCTTTGCCCTATCATTGGTATTGCTTACACAGGCAAGGTCGCACTAAATTAACAACATGAGGAGATGCACACGGTCTTTCTGAATGGTTATAATTAAAAAGCCATATTTCAGTTAGCCCTATATTTTAATTAAATTACTCAAAATCATAAAAAATAGTGCAAAATATTATTGATTTGCCAATAATGCCTAAATTGTGTTTTAATTTTTCACTAAACTATCAGCAAAACCCGGCGTATACTATGTACAATAAGTGGCTATAGAATAATTTCTTTTGTTTTCATGATGTACATATATCTTGGTATCATTAAATCTAGAAATATGTTAAATATTCTTTGTAGCATGTGTTTCCTTGCAACTAAAATATTAAAAGCAATTATATTACAAACAGACTTACCTCGTATTATAGTATAGGATTAACAAATTTAATGTTTATCACCAATAAATAATTTTGTCTAATTTATCATTTGAATTATACAAGCATTTTATAACGTACTGAAGTTTTTCTAAATCTCGTCCACCACTTTTGTTAAATATTACAATAGATTCTTAGTGTCATACGTTAACCTAACTTATCATCTATCATCGAAAAATACTTTAATTAGCAAATATTTTAGAGACCCAATTGTTCAATTACAACAAGTAAATTCATTGTAAAATTAGTAACAATAATAATTCAAAAATCTTTTGAGCTTTACAATATTTTTTAAATAAATTACCGTACTTACTTCCCGACTGTAGCTTACAGAAGGCACCAAGTTGAAAACTTCCAAAGGACGTTTACTTTCCTCATATATGGCAGATACTGCGAATTGTGTGATGAAGTTCACCAAAACTACTTTGAGACAGCGGAAAAAAGCCATAGTGTATGTAATAACATCCTTTACATTGCTAGAAAATAAATATCTCACAGGTTCTACTAATGCACGAACATAATGTAAGCCTTTGAGCATAGGCATGTGTCAAATACACTACATAACAATTAATTTATTGCCAAGGACTGAGATAGTAACCCTAAGCTTATGCTAAACTATGCCTGTTGGATCAAAAGCAAAGGTTTTCATGTACTTTTCATTGGATTGCCTTCAATAAAGATTAAATGTTTAAGTATAGTATTATATTTTAGACGATCAAATTTCATTCTTTTTTCCAATTAAGTCTTTTAAACTTTAAAAATATGTGATAAACTTTTAAAAATTTGCAAAATGTAGTATTTATTCAAACCGACACAATCTTTTAGAGACCTAGGCCTACCATCTTTTGAAAAATATAATACTTCGTATATTAAATCATAACTAGTTTTGTATATGCTAGTGCATTACCTATTTCGTTTTGAGACACTTATTCCATAATCCTCTGCATTTAAATGTGATACTAACTAGGCCTAAATATAAAACAACTTGTTGTCATGTGTTTAAGTTGATTCCTGTCCTACTTCTGAGAAAGATTTCTGTCCAGCTATTTTTGTCAATTGTTAGATAGGAGCTTATGGTCCATAAGCTTACATTGGACTATTTTAAATACCTATCTGACAATTGACAAAAATACTATTTTAAAAACTATTTTAAATACCTATCTAACAATTGACAAAAATAGCTGGACAGAAATCTGTCTGTGTCATTATTGAGATGACAAAAATTTACATGTTCATAAAGAGTGTTATTTATGTACAATGTTAAAAAAACACCTGATGCAGGTAGTCTTTTAATTAACTTGTGACCTTAAAAACCGCAACTTAACACAGTAAATAGGATACTGGCATTTCACACCTGATTGCCCAGTAAATGTAGATAATGATGTTTAATGTTTCCATGATAAAAGTCACCAGGACCAAAGGGCTCAATAGGTCATCCAACAGCATGGTTAGTTGGGATAGCTTTGCATATGAATCCCTCATATCTTGCCAATAAGTTGAGGGCATCAGCTGAAAGAAATATGCCATTTGTACCTTATATTTCATAACTTTGGGCAATCATACGTACTTAACCATAAAGCCGTGTTGTGTGAAGTTACCTGAGGTAAACCGTCCGCCAAATGGCTTTGTGTAAACGTGGCTTTAAGGATTAAAGAAAACTATACTGTTGACGGATTAAGTTTCCTCATGTTTTCAACATTTTCAAATCACTGGTTTGTAATACCAGTAGTTATTCTAATTTAAAAAAATATTCTTATAAATAAAATAGTTACTAAATATCTTCTATAAAAAGTGAAGTGAGAACTTTTTTTGGATCCCATCGTGTTAAATAACATATTACAAACATGTAACACTTGCATAACAGTAGGCCTACTAAGCTTTGTAGGCTACATTATTATTAATCAAAAGGACTTAATAATGTGTTTTAACAAAATTTATAAAGTGGAACCATATATTCATTTTAACCGATACCTATATATTCCCCCCACTATCCCAGAAAACACAAGCCGAATACTTTTATTTATGCAACGGTTGATGTGGCCAAATACTCATCCAATTGCATTTGTTTAATTTATCAAAGAAATGTATACCTGCATTTTAAAAGCCTCCAAATGGTTGTTAAACTCTTTGAATCGAGCCGTCATAACAACAGACAGAACTGTGATGAGTAGATTGCAAGAGGCCCATTGTAGAGCAGTGATGATTTCCATCACAAACAAGGCAAAATACTTCCATGGAGCTGGGGATATGACCTTGAATATGTTTTGGTAATAAACCAGGAAGTATCTTCCCAGCTGGTCCCAGAAGGATGGTAATTGTAGACAAAACATTATCATAACAATAAATATTACCATAGTGACAAAGATATATCCTGAAAAAATTAAAAGCGATTAAATTAAACAGCTAGAAAGAATAGTTCTGTTACCATTAAACTATCAATAAAAGTGTTTTGTTACCTTACAAGATCCTTGTTTGTCCTTGGTTGAACTACAAGTATCGTGGCAACTGCCACATGAGGTCCATCCTCTTCTACAATTAGTCCATAAACTTGGAAATACAAAACACATGCGTATTTGTACAAAAGACATTAACGTAGCCTACATTAATTTGATCAATCGTCATATGCATTTGGTCCGGCTGGCAGGGCCTCTTTCAATCTAATCATCACAGATCTGTCTGCTGTATGACGCCTCGATTCAAAGAGTTTAACAACCATTAGCAGGCTTTTAAAATGCAGGTATACATTTCTTAGGTCGCCGCCAGCCTGACCAAATGTGTGCATGTATCGCCTTGTCCAAAACAACCCATTAAATTTATGTAATGTCTTTTGTTAAATTTGTGTGTGTTTTGTATTTTAAATTTTAGGTTTATGATTCATTGTAGAAGAATATGAACCTGAACCTGATGTTACAGTTGCCACGTAACATATATTTCAACCAAGGAAAAACAAGGATCGTGTAAGGTAACAAAACACGTTTATTAATACAATGTGTTCATAAAGGGGTGTCACAAACTTCAGGGAATGATAGTATAGTAATCAATCTAAACCAAAAATTTGTATAAACTTAGGTCAAAAAAATGTTGTTTAGCGCCGCTAACCACCATTTTGTATTTTTTACAAAACAATTTATATCTCAAGAAATATTCAGGCTAAACAAAACTTTTCACATTCATTTATTGTGTCAAAAGGCAATAAAAAAATATATTATGTAATTTTCTTTTAAAATTACAAAATGGCGGCCATTTAAAATGTTTAAACTTAAATTACAAAATTATGGCTGATATTATTAAATGGGTGAAGAACACTTTTATTTAGTATTTTCAATTCCGTATCAAACTATAACAAGTTTAAATACCCCCGCCGCAGCAAACCTGCAGACTAAACAAATTTCCATTTACCTGGCTGGATTTCTACTGAAATATACCCCGAAAATTATCAGATTTATTTCCTATTTAAATAACATTAATTTTAATGAGTACCTAGGTATGCTGCTACAGGGAAGGTATTGAGGTGTATTTTTATTGAAATGTTGATAGCTTAGTATGAAATAAACAAAATTGCCAAATTTAGTCAAAATATATTCATAAACAAGCAAACTACAACAGTTGAATTATTCTCCATAAGAATAACATGTGAATTTTAAATTTAACGTTTTTCTAATTATCTCCTTAACCGCTAGGCATACAACAACGCTTCAATATACAAAATTATTTCCTTTTTTAGGCTCTACGAAATAATCTGGAAAGAAATTGTGGAATTTTATGTCAAAAATGGGAAAAACTAATTTTTACCCCATGAAACCCCCCATAAACCCCCGTTACCATAGCCCGATCATACTGGTTCGCGAACTTCTTTGAAAAAAAGTAGGTTTAAACGTTTCTACCAAATTTAATCAAAATCGGATCATTTTTGCTCGAGTTATCGCGCTAACGGATATATATATCTATACTAGGAGTATCCGTCCTTTGTATGGGGTTGGCGTATTAGTATAAAATGATAATTGCAGCCATTCTCGTGCTTTGCGTTTGCAATGGAAGAGGATACGTACGTTGTTATAAAATAATTTGGTTTACTATAATTTACTGTATACTAGCAAATAATATATCCTAACTTTACATTAACATTATATATAGAGTTGGATTTTTGACGGGTAGATGTCATATAGGACATCTACAATAACCATCATAATGTTCTACTACTCTACCTAAACAATAGAAAAAATACCCCCGCCGCAGCAAACCTGCAGACTAAGCGAATTTCCATTTTCCTGACTAGATTTACACTAAAATGTCTCCTTAAAAATATCACATTTATTCCCTATTGAATGAATAACATTAGTTTAACGAGTACTTAGGTTTGTTGCAACAGGGAGGGTAAAAAGGTATTTTTTTGTAAAATGTAATAGTTTAGTATGAAATAAATGCATTTTCCAAATTTGATCAAAATATGTTCATAAACAAGCAAACTACACAAGAGTTTACTTATTCTCCATAAGAATAACATGGGAATTTTAAATTTACAGATTTTTGGAATTTTCTCAGTAACCATTATATGCGCTTAATAACGCTTTAAAATACTAAATTATTTGTTTTTTTTTAAGCTCTTCAAAATGGTTTGGAAAGAAATTGCTAAATCTTAAATTTTTAGGGTCAAAAATGGGAAAACCAAATTTTTACCCCATAAAATCCCCCCAAAACCCCTGTCCCCATAGTCCGAACATGCTGGTTCGCGAACTCGTTCGAATAAACGTAGGTTTACACGTTTGTACCAAATGTCATCAAAATCGGATGATTTTTGCTCGAGTTATCGCGCTTACGGACACATATCGAAATATATATATATGAATTTGAACGGATGCAGTGGCGTAGCCAGGATTCTGCTTTGGTGGGGGGGGGGCCGATCCGGGGGGTCTGGGGGGCATGAAATACCCCCCAGGACAGAAAAATGTTGGTATTTTATGGTGCTAAATTGCAGTTTACAACACCTCTGGAGGCTCTAAAGTAGAGAATAATATTGGTGTATTACTACTAAAAATTAGTTTTTTACTGTTCTGAAATCTAAACAAGTTGCCTAAACTACTATTAATCTGCGTGACGTAATTTTAATAAAATAAATCAAGCTGATAAAACTACACTCAACTTATAGAATAAAGCATACTAGTGGTCGTCCAGTGATCGAAAACTCGACCAAAAATATGTAATGTACACGCAATGACTATTGGATACTGAAGTAGACACTATATGTACCAGCTGCCGTAATTTTTTTTATTATAAAACATTGTACAGAAGACCCTATATAATCGGCACTGTACCACTCCGGCACTCCAGTAATCCGGCGTCTTTTGGCGGGAGGTCTTCCGCGGTCGCGGCAAAATTCTGATTATCTCCCGCGGTCGTGTAGATATCATTCTCTCCCGCGCTCATGAAAACGTCATCGTCGTCTTGCGTGATCGCGGCAATATCATGAACATC